TTTAATTAAAAAATACAGGTATTATACTAAGCTAGATAGTCCTCCTTATCCCTAAAGGAGCCTGAAAGGAGCAGGGACTCACAGAGACACCTGTTGGAGTACGTAACGTTCGTAACCAAATCAGTCACAACAGGGAAAAGGTGGGAACACCCCAAATATCCACTGACAGATAAGGGGATAGGTAAATGTGGTATACGCCAGCCATTGAATATCATGCAGACATCAAAAGGAAGGAAGGGTGCCTGGGTGGTTCGGTTGTGTAAGTGTCCGGCTTTGGCTCAGGTTGTGATCATGGTTCGTGAGTCTGAGCCCCACACTGTGACTTTGGATCCTCTGTCTCCCTCTCTGCCCCTCCCCTGTTCGAGCTCTCTCTCTCTCAAAAATAAATATTAAAAAATTGTTTTTAAAGTGACCATTAAACCATGCTTAGCAATTTTGAGTAAATCAATGTACAACTTTGTTTCAAAACAGTTTCGTTTGTCCAAATGAATTTTGAAATACTGGAGGAAGTTGCGGTAGGAGTGAAAGTAGTTTAAAAATGAAAAGCACTCTTTCCAGAGAAGAAAATGACGTCAGGCAGACCCTAGCTGCGAGCTGCCTGCCTAATTGAGAGCTGAGGCCTAGCTTTTCAGTGCAGTGCGACTGGCGCCTGCGAGCCCTGCAGATCAGCAGAGGGGGAATCAGGCCTGGGTTGCCAAGGAAACCGCCCCCGCTCTCCCACTCCCCTCCCCAAATCAGTTAAATCAGGTGCTTGCACCTTCTTGCGCTGTTTTCTCAAGTAGAAGACAGGAGAAAATCATAGAGGCAGTTTCCGACTTGTGCATCAAACCTTCAGCCATCAAATAGGGTGTGTTCGTAAATTATCCCATTTCGATTCTGGCGCTCCCTTCAGTCTGGTCTCAGTAGCATCCCTGCGTGGTCTGCGTCTCACCATTCTGTCAGGTGAGAACATCCCACGACGGAAGTGGTGACACAGGAAGAGAAAGCCAAGGCGGAGCCTGCAGGCGTGGGCCAGCTTCCCGTGTGGCACAGGCAGTAGAGCCTGGTCCCACGGGGACCCGCTGGCCCCAGCCGGCGCCCTGTTCATTCAGCTGTGGAGGAAAAGGCTGTGTTCTAAGTGCTAGTCACGTACGACCAGAGGAGAGATGAAATTAGGAATTTTGCAACTTGAAAAAAATCTCTTGGGAGAGGAGTGCCTGGAGGGCTCTGTTGGGCCCCACACTGGGCGCAGAGATTACTTTGGGAAAAAAAGAAAAGAAAAGAAAAAAACATCTCTTGGGAGAAATCCCATTCTGTCTTAACATGGAAGTCAGTCACCAGACTTTAAAACTGTCTAAGTTCACTTTGCAGACACGTTGTCCACAAGGAGCTCTCTCTGGCGGAGACGCAGGGAAGAAGACTTCCTTGAACTTGACATTTGTGTTCACCCTGAGGCTCAGCCAAGAGCCTGGAGAGTTAGAGGGTGTCGGACACTGGCAGCCGGAGGAAACCAGGCCGGGGGGTTAGTCTTCATTGACTGTGTAACCCGCTGCCCCCAAGACTTAGTGGCTGGAAACAACAAGCATTTAATTTCTCACAGTTTCTGTGAGTCAGAAACCTGGGAATGGCCTCGTTGGGTCCCTGAGGCTCAGTGTCTCTCCCCAGGGCTGCAGGTATCTCAAGGCTTGACTAAGGGGTCTGCTTCCAAGACCCCGGGCATGGATCCTCCCCGGCCCTCATGTGGTCCTCCCTAAAGGGCTACCCCACGGCCCTACTGGGAGACAGTCTGAGAGCCAGCAAAAGACAGCATCCAAGCCAGAAGCCGATCTTTCTGTAACTGGTCGTGCGAGGGACACCCTCTCCCTCCTGCCATCTTCTTTTTGTTTGAACTCAGTCCAGCCCACACCCAAGGGGGAGGGGATGCCATGGAGGCGTGAGCACTGAGGTGACAGGGAGCCTTTCACAGGAGCCCTGTGGTCACACTGAGCACAGAGCTGCCTCTGGCTCCCCCCAGAAGCTGGGGACCAGGTCAGGAGAAGGAAAGGTAGAGATGTGTCTCACCGTGTCTCCGAGTGGAAATGGAAATCTGGGCCAGTGAGCAGCAAGTGGTCTTGATGTCAGAGTCCATCAAGGAAACATGCTTTCTTTCCTCTCTTCATAAATACCATGACTTGCCTTACAGTCTTGCAGATGTGATTAATTACTAAGAGATGGAGACTGTGTTGTAACTCTGTTGTTGATCTGCATAAAGTCTCCTGAGAACATCATGTTGGTTGGAAAGTTTATGCTTGTTTTAACAAGATTTCCGTTTGTATTGAAGAAGCGGAGCTGGTTGGCTGTGGGCTGATCCCCTGCCGCTCAGCCAGCTCCCCTGGGGGAAAGCTGCCTGTCTGGCTGCCCTGGAGTGGGGTGCCCTCGCTCCCCCATGTGACTGCTGGTCTGGTACCTGGGAGCCACTGAGTAGCTCTTATTGCTTGGCCTTGTCAACCCAGAACAGCTGCTCTGTGGAAGAGAGCTTAGCACTGAACACCTCAGGATGCAGAACGTAACCTGACTCTGGGTGTAGATTTGCACCGTCAGAACGAATTACCGTCCACAACTACTAGTGCAATTCCTGCTGCCATTTCTGAGTCCCTGTCACACTTCAGGTAATGCACCATGCACTTGACGTAGTTATTTTCCTAAGGAAGGTCTTATTAAGTCTATCTTCCAAGCCTAGGAGAGGAGGTGTGATTGACCAGTCATGCGCTTTGAAAGTGGTACAGATGGGGCGCCTGGGTGGCCCATTGATTAAGCTTCTGACTCATGATTTCGGCTCAGGTCATGATCTCACAGTTCGTGGGATCGAGCCCCGCTTTAGGCTCTATGCTGACAGTGTGGAGCCTGCTTGGGATTCTCTCTCTCTCCCTCTCTCTGCCTTTTCACTACTCATGCTCTCCCTCTCAAAATAAATAAATAAATAAACTTTAAAAACAAAAGTGAAAAGAAAAATAAAAGAAAGTGGTACAGATATTGTTTAAATCCCCAACAGCATTTTCCAAAGCTGCCATGACCCACGGGCCTAGGCATGCAGATGTCCTACCACTTCTAAACCGTATCTGTTCTCTTGGTGTTTTTCATTGCTTTGTTTTCCCACTCATTCTGGGAGAATACGGAGGTCGCCTTACCCATAACCTTGTTAAGATGTCTTCAAAGTCCATTTGTTGACTCTTACGGAGGTGCTTTTGCACTAAGAATTCTGTCTTCCCTTCACGTAACCACATGGTACCTTTTGGCCATAGGCATCTGCCAGCGGGGAGCTCACCCCTGGTTTACCAGAGCCCCTGGACTTAGAAGCCCTTGCCTTGACCTCTTAAACGTAAAGAACATGATGGCAGGTTTGTCTGGGATCAGACTGGCTTGTTCCACGCCAGTTGGGAATGCGCTGTAGCTCCACAGTCCCCATCGCCTGGGGAGGCCCCGGAGGTGGCTTGCCTGGCCCTGAGTGGGGGGCTGAAATGCGTGTACCCCTTACAGCCTTGCTGCCCCAGGGGTTGAGATCCTCCGACAAACATTCATTCCCCTAATCTTTTTTTTTTTTTTTTAAGTTCATTTGAGAGAGAGAGAGAGAGAGAGCACAGGAGGGGCACGGAGACAAGGAGAGAGAGAATTCCAAGCAGGTTCCATCCACACTGTCAGCACAGAGCCTGATGCGGGGCTCGACCCCACGAACTGTGAGATCATGACCTGAGCCAAAATCAAGAGTCGGACACTAAAGTGACAGAGCCACCCAGGCACCTGCCCACCCAGTCTTTACTGAGAGGCTCCGTGGGCTGCGGTCAGACCGCACAGCCCAGTCCCTGCGCTCGCAGACAGAGCCGACAGGCGCGGGGCAGCTCTGGGCCCCAGCTGCCTCCTCTTCGGAGCAGATGTCCCCAGGGTTGTGTGGGGACGAAATGCGTCAGGCCTCCCTCCACACAGCAAGGCAACAGGGGCGAGTCCAGGTTCTGGGCCTGGGCCTCTCATCTAGCTAACTCAGGAAGAATGCAGATGAATGTTGACATTAAGTACTTATGTCCCAGTTTGGTTCCTGGGGGCTTTTCAGGGTTTTTGGTGAGCCAAGACCTCCCCAGTCCAGTCAGAGGAGGGGCCCAGCTGGGCTGGCCGTGCAGCATACACAGGGCTTTGTTTCCGAGCAGAGTTCACCACTACGTGTGACTTTTGCCTCCTGGACTCAGTACACTTGAGATGACCTGTAAATTAAAAGCTGGTGGTGCTTCAGTCAAAGCTGCGGTCCATAGCCAGTCCTGCGTGAAGCCTAAATGGAAAGCCCACAGCACCCGCGTCTGGGAAGGTCCAGGCCCTGGGAGCCGGTCGTGAGCACTGATGGAGCTGTGCCCTTGGCCCTTCCCACATCAGCATCCTCTGTGGTGGCCGGTATTCCCCGCGTGGGGGTCTGCCTCTGCTCCCTTTGTGACAGCAGTCTCCCAAAGCAGCTGGGATGCCCCTCACCCCGGATGACCCACATTCATGGTGCCGTGGGTCCCCGTTGGCAGGTCACTATGAAGCCTCTCACACCCTCCCTTCCATCTCCGTCTGGCCACATGAGCCCACAGCACCTTTCTGGACGGGGGCTGGCCTGGTCTCCCTGACCACATGAGGGCTGCTTCGTGCCCTGTGAGGAGTAGCAAATCCTAAATGCTCGCCACCTCCTCACTGGCTGACGAGAAAGCCCCTGGGTGGCAGGCAGTTTGCTTTCACCGTGTCCTATGATCCTTAAAGCAGGTACCATGTGGCTGGTGTCTCTTCTTCTTATAGATGAGCTCAGTGAGGCGCAGAGGAATGGACGCATTACCCAAAGTCACACATCTGGGAAAGGTGGGGCCGGGACCTAACGCCCTCATTTCTGACAGCGCCCGGGAGGAGACTTTCTTTGTGTCATTCATAAAGCACGCGCCTTCGTATTTGCACGTTAACACGCAGCACAGAACAGAGGTCTTCAGTAGCCATGTGAAAACATCCTTCTCTTTGTTGTTTTCCAGTGAATAAAATTGGCCTGGATTCAGAAGGAGAAAGCTGTGGAAATGCAGAGAAGCTTGCAGAATACATTTGTTCCAGTAAGTGCAAAAATCCTCCCCCCGACCCCCAAGCAAAGCCCATCTATTTACGTTTGTTTTTTGGCCTCACACCCCCCGCCCCGGGAAGGGCCTGTGTCCTCTGTGCCTTCTCCGTGGTGACAGGGGTTGGCGCGCAGGCTCTGGGGCCCGGCGTGTGTCTCCGCTTGTGTGAGATTCAAGCCCCCCTCCATGCCCTCCAGGAGACTTGAGGCAGTTTGAACATTACACAGAACAAAACGTTTGGCGACAAATCCAGGGAGACCATCTGCGGCGACTGTAGAGGGAGCGGAGGCGGGCGGATGCCGCTGGGCACCGTCCCCTGTCTGTGTCGCCTCCTCTCTCGTAGAGGCTGCTTTCTTCTCTGAATTCCCCCGCTCAGAGCTGCCCCTGGACGGCGTGTGGACGCTGTCTGTAGGTGGCGCTGGCTGCAGACACGTGGCGTTTCCGTGGGGGTTTGTCCTTGATGGAAGGATTCTGGGGAACTCGGGGTGACAGGGGCAGGGAGGTTGAGGGGTGCCTGCAGGGCCGTCTTCCTCGCTGGTATTTCCCATCCCCCCCCCAGCCTAACCCAGCTGCAGACACTTGCCCTTGTGCCCTTGTCGCCCCCTCCCCATCGCTAAAGGGGGTCGAATAAGCACCCCCGCATCACGGGCCCAGCACGCTACTCAGACACAAGGCATGCGAGATGCCACCTTCAGCCTGGCTCCGGCTGGGCCTCTGTCCCTTTAACATCAGCAAACACCTGTTCCCACTGCTGTTCCCACCCCCTGCGGCGTGCCCAGGGCCAGTATGGCGGCCCCCCGGGGGCCACGGCGCAGGGCAGCAGGAGGGAAGGTGTGGCACCCACCACAGTGTCCCAGCCCTGCTCTTCCCTGTAGTTTGGTGAGGTCTCTCACCAAAGTTTGGAAAAGTGCTCTTCTTACTAAAGGAGTATGTTTCCAGGACACCGTCAAAAGCCCCAGGGACAGTGGACGTGACCCTAACCCAGTGACCCTCTGGGCCCAAGCCGGTGCTGGCCTGGGTGGGAGCCACGGACCGGGCACCCAGCGCCCCTGCCTCGGGGCTGGTGTCCACCACTCCACCCGAACCGTGGGGCCTTGGGGGCTCTTGACCACGACGGTCGAGGGCCCACGGCTCTAGCGGCCAGCTCCGTGGCTGCTCCAGCGCGTCCTCACGTCCAGCCCCCTGCACAACCTCTCCGTCTCTGCCAATCCCTCCCGACGGTGCCGCCTGCGGACGGCCTGCTAAGCACAGCCCCTCGTGACAGGGATGCCGTGGGCCGTGCTCCTTCCACACATACCGTCCGGAAGACCCCAGCCCTCTTTTGTCCCCCCCCCCTCCCCCATACACATGTTGCTTCTATCTCCTCTTGTCGTTTAACCCACTCCGGCCTTGTGAGGGTCGCTGGTCTGCGTGGCTTCCTCCCTGGTGACCCCCAGCCCTGCAAAGGGCGCAGCACACAGGTGTTCCCATGCGGGGTCTGCCGAACGCTGCTGGACTCTTCCAGCACGACGGGAGGGCACGCGGCGGGCGAGGCAGGGGAGGGGCTGGCCAGTGCCGGCGGCCTGTCCAGGCTGAGAGGCCCTTTAGTATCAGCACCGGTGCTGATGCCCAGCCGGGTGTTTAAACAGCAGCGAAGAAGCCACGGGCAGATATGCCAGGGAGTCCCAAGGGTGTGCACGGTCCTGGGCACCTCGGGGTCCTCCATGAGAGGGTCGCTGAGCCTCCCCTCTTCCGGGGCGAGAGGAATGTCACAATTGGGTTCTTCCCCCAGCTGCTCGTGGTGTGGGTGCCTATGTTCCAGAACAATCCAACTCCAGGCTCTTTATTTCTGATGTTTTTAGGGGATAATGGTCACCATTGAATGGTAACCGAGCCCTTCTGATGTCTTAATGGAGGAATCATTGTAAATGGTAGCTCTTGGCATTCCCCGTGGAATTCAGTGCCTTGGTTTACGAAGACGAATGATGGGTCCGTGGGTGGGACAACAGTTAGCTCCTTAATGGAGCCAGTAGCTGCCGTCTCTCTCCAGGGCAGACGGTCTGGCTATACTCACGGTGATGCACGGGTTCTGGAAGGAGGTGGAGGGAAATGGAGTCATTCCTCACTATCAGGTCCAAAGCCATCAGGCTGCTGTTCCTTGCTCTGCATACACAAGGCAGGAAGGATCCAGGTCACTTCTGAGACCTCACACTGGTGTTTCAATTAACTGCCTCAAGGCGTGGAGAGTAGATAGGAACGTGCTCTGTATACTCTGCCCTTATCTCGGCAGACACCGGTCCATGCTCTTTGCAAAGCCTTTGTTACTTCTCGTTTATCACCAGCCATGCCTGTGTGTCCTAGTAAATCTTTAATTCGCAATTAGAATACCCACATGAGAATCCTTCTCGACTGCTAATAAAGACTTTCACCTTGCTTTTACCAAAGCATTAATTATTTTCTCCCCCAGGAAGATCTGAAGCTTGATTTTAAAGGCTGAGAATCTACTTCTGGTATTTACAGTCAACAGGCCAACTCATAGTTATTGCTTATTTATTTTAATTAATGCTTTTTTACTATGTGACAGACACCATTGTGAGCTTTTAAAGCTATTAACTCATTTCATCGGATAGCTCTTTTTTTTTTTTTTTTTTGAGAGATAGAGGGAGAGGACGGGGCAGGGAGAGGGAAACAGAGAATCCCACAGAGAGTGCAGAGCCTGATGTGGGCCTTGAACCCAGGAACCACGAGATCATGACCTGTGCCGAAACCAGAGGACAGATGCTTAACCGACTGAGCCACCTATGAGCGCCAGATAGCTCACAGTTCTGATAGAAAGTTCTGCCCTCTCAAGGTATCTCCTCTAATGGAAAAGAAAGTAGCAATTAAAATGGTAAAAGGTGGAAGACAGTTCCAACATTCCACGAGAGGGTCCGCCTAGGTCAGAGGGGACTGCAGTCATCCGAAATGTTCCCTGGATCTGGGGACACTTGCTCAGCTCTTCCTTCCCTCGCCATCAGCCTCATTGTCTGGACTCCGCGCCAGGCGCATTAGCGCCTGCACAGCCTGCTTCTCACACCAGTGCCTGGAGGGCTGACACCTGGAGCTTCACAGTCACACATGTGTCCTCCAACGAAATGGCATTTTTAAACAATCAGCCATGTTACCTCAGTAACCACATACGGAGCCCCGGCCCCAGCGCACAACTGTCTCTGGGATTCCCAGCCCCTTGCTGTCCTCAGCCCCCGCAGACAATAAACTTATCCCCCAAAAAGAATGGGCTCTTTGCCTCTGACTTGAAGGTCAGGTCGCAGCAAGGATGCCTGTGGTGGACCCCGCTCCGCAGCGGCCGCAGATTCAAGCAGGATGGTTCCAGGCCTTCCTCCTTGCTAATGGTGTCTCCGGCTTTCACGAAGGCAGCTGGGCTGACTGCACCTGTGCGGCCTGGCCCTCCAGGCCCTGGTGGCACAGTGACAAAGGACAGGCAACTGTCCTGTGCCAGGACACACATGCCCAGACCCCATCTCCCTGGTTAGTGGCCAACAGAGAGTAAGCACGTGAGCAGCTCAGGACTCTACTGCTTTCAGAAGAGATGCTTCAAAGGGCAGATTCTGAAATCTTCTGAAGGCCCTTTGCACACTTCTAGGGCTAGGCTTGCTGGCAAGGCAGGCCCGTGGTTTCCCTGCTCATTCTCAAAGCCGCCCCAGAACAGGTGGTTGGGAGGGTCTGGGGGAGAGCTTCAGCCCCTACAATCCTGCCCCAGCATCTAACACCCACAGATACACCGGCACTGGAGGGACGCCTGGGCTCCAGTTAAGAAAACAGCACCTGAACATGGCTTTGAAAATATGTCTCTATGGATAGCATGTATAGTGCACGTAACATTTCTTCACACTGGAAAAAAGAAATCAGCGGGCATCTATCACCTATGTGTAAAATTTTCCCCATTCCTTATGTTCTTTTATATCGGTACTGATCTTTACAGAGCAGTTTAAATAAAACATTCACCAATATATAGTTATTTAATAACTTTAAAAAAAGAAGTCTACAGCTATTCCTGTGGTTTAGCTGGGCATTCATGGAGATGGTGCTAGGCGAGAAGAACTTGCCTCGTTCCCTCCTGTAGTCACAGTCCCCAAAGGAGAGTTCAGGGATCTTATGGATACAGAAAAACGTGTGCATAAGCAACAGCCACTAAAACTTCTTCCAACTGATGGATGGATGGATGGATGATGGATGGATGGATGGGTGGATGGATGATGGATGGATGGATAGATGATGAATAGATGATGAATTGATGATGGATGATGGATGATAGATGGATGGCTGGGTGGTGGATGATGGATGGATGGATGGAGGATGGATGATGGATGGATGGAGGATGGATGATGGATGGATAGATGGATATAGAGGGGGAAATGGTTAGTTCTATTAAAATGTTCACATTTGGGGAGGATTCTGACATGTGACAGCCCACTGGTTTGTTGGATGGTATTGTCTCAACTCGGTGTTTGGATTTCATGCCTTCTTCACGATTCTGCAGAGAGCTCAGAACCGAACACACCCTTAGGTCTTCCTAGAGTGGAAGTGGGGAGCGGAGGTGAGAGGCACAGCCATTCTCAGTAGACTGGGCCCCTGCATGGCCACCCAGCAGCTCCCTCGGCACTTGGCCGGGTGGCTGCCATCCTGACGGGGACAGTAGACATACAGCTTGTCTCTGTTGGGGGTGGCTCCTGGGCTGCATGTGGCTGCCCTATCCCCACCGCCTCGTGAACATGAGCCCTGGCTCCAGCCACCTCTGTCACCTCCAGGGCTCCTCCCAAGGTAGGAAGTGTCTGCAGTGCCAGCACCACCCAGCCTCTAGCCTTCTGAGTCCAGTGACGGGCAGAGCTCATGCCTGCTGCTCAGGCACCCCGTCAGCACCAGAGGCACTGGAGGGGCCCGCAGGTGGCAGCTCCTGGCTTGTGGGGACGCCCGTTTTCTGAATGCCTTGACCAAGTTCCCTGTGATCTTCCTACAGCTAGGTCGGAGCTTCTTCCCACTCAGACGCTGGGTGGCCCGGAGCAGCTCCCCACCCCCACCATGCCCTGGGCAGACGCACCCCCTTCTCGAAAGCGTTTACAACATCTGGTTATTTTTCTGCAGGGGAGTCACCAGCATTGCCTCTTCTGTTTCCCTGTGGAACCGTCAAAGGAGAAATCCTGCCAAAGATGCTCAAGGACAAAGGTGATGAGAATGCACGGGGGTCATGGTCACCTCCTCCCTTATCCACTTCCTCGGGTCTCCCGGGAGCCTGCAGGGTCAGTGTTTGCGGTCAGCTCTGTAGAGCGCCCCCGGGGAGAGCAGGCCGCGGGGTTGGGGGCGGGCTGTGCCTCATGGTCACACTCGGTACGGGGTGCAGTCTGCTGTCCTTACCACAGCCCTGCCCTCCTCGGCCCGCTCAGCTCCAGCTAGGAGCCCGCAGAGTGTCCCTGAGCTTTCACCAGCGGTACAGGTGGTCCTGGTGCGGGGGGACCCCAGGGGGGCCCCCGTGCAGTCGAGGGTCTCGGGGTGGAGCCCATCTCCCCTTGGCAGGCGGTGTCCTGCACAGCCACCTCCCTGTCACGGTCTAGAGACCAGACGTCGGCCCCACCCACCCACTCAGGTGCTGGGGGGTGTCACCCACACGCCTGCTGCCACGTGGTGGCTCCGGGAGCCAAGGGTCGTCAGCAGGCTGGAGTACACACTTCAGGAGACACAAAGCCAGGTCTGAACCCTCCCTGTGCCGTCCGCGAGCTGTGTGAGCAAGGGTGGGCGTCCGCACCCTCGCCTGTGGAATGGCTAACCCCGCGCCCGCCGCACGGGGCTGCGGTGACGCGAGGGGGCACCGTGCCCGGCCCTGCAGAGGCCAGAAGCGCTGGAGCCGCAGCTCTCCTGCTCCCTCTCGTCCCGAATCCCCAGAGGTTCTCAGACACCGGAACTGTCCCCCCTGCGGCAAAGCAGAGGTCGCGTCCCTTCCGTGTTACCGTCTGTCTCCTGAACGCTACTGGGAATAAAGGCAGAGGACGTTAGGCCGCAGGGTCAGGATCGCTGGCTGCCGAGGGCCAGCCGGGCGCCGGGCACAGTCGACCTCGGGAGAGCCGGGCTGTGCTGTCGCGTCTGCGCGAACCGCCCTGCGGAGCAGAGGCCCCCTGCCTTCCTCGTGTAATAAGGCCCGTTTCCCGCCCAGGGATCCCCATGGAAAGCATCGTCGTCTATCAGAAAATCCCACACCCGGGAATCCAGGTGAACCTCAACAGCTACTACTCTCAGCAGGTGCGTGCTGCCTCCCGGGAGGCCTCCGGTGGGGGCGGGGGCACCTGCGCGGCGGAGACGGGGGAGGGGGCGCGAGGCCCAGGCTGTGTGACTTCATCTCCACATCTGTGAAATGGGACCAGACCGCTCTCTTAAGGATTTGTCAGGATTAGAGGAGATAGTTTACCCGCAGCCGTGCAGGTAGCGTCCCAGACATAGTGAGCCTGGGCAGCTGGAGGCCTTGATGGGATCGTCCCGCATTGTGCGGGCGCTGGCGGAGGAGGTGCAGGGCAGAGGCTGGGAGGGGAGGCTGGGCGCATACTGGAAAGGCCCACAGTGCCCTCGGGGGAGTCTACGTTGAACTTGGGAGGCCACAGGGACCTTTGGAGGCTCCAGACAGGAGTGGGTAGCGCCTGTTTGAGTCAAGGTCCTGCACTTCTGCGCCCTTCTCCTAGGACGGGCTTCGAGATGCCTTGCTGGTTCTGGACGTCCCATTAGTGCAAACCGAAAGGCCATGTACCTGGCCCGTCTCGTGTGTCCTCAGGCCGCAGAACTGACAGGGAGCCGGGCGGGACTGCTGCCTCCTCGATCAGTGCCACTTTGGCCACATGCGCTAGAGGCACACTGGCCACTGGGCTGGGCACGTGGGTCCATGGTGCCCCTGTCCTCTGGCCAGCAGAGCCATGGGGAGCAGCACCCTGCCTCCCCAATGGCACCCTGCTCTCTAAACAGTGCCTCCCGTGAACTTGGCCTCCAGGGAGCAGAGAAGGCCATGTCCCCCAGGGACCCTCCTGCTATAGATCCTCAGGTTACCTCCTCCAGGGGACCCTTGGCCTGTGGCGACAGACTGACCTTCCTCCCTGCAGGGCATCCCAGCGAGCATCACGTTTTTCAGCCCCTCTGGCCTCACCTACAGCCTCGAGCACATCCAGGAGTTATCTGGTGACCACATGGATCAAATCAAGGTGAGGTACTCAGTGGGCTTTTGGTCTTTTCAGATTGTTAAAAATTTTTACTGATTATCCTAGAGCTTCCGTGTAAAGCTGATGCCGGCTCCGGAGCGCTGGAAAGGCAGGGCTCGGTTCCCAAGCACGACGTCCTGGCTGGCGCTCCTGGACCAGCAACCCAACCTCTCAGAGCCGGTTTCGTCATTTGTAACATGACCATTATCCCCCCGTGGCCTGCGTAGACAAGGACAGGAGTCCCCCTTCTCAGCGGGGGGTACGGTCCAGGACCTTCAAGTGGATGTCTGGAACCACAGTTAGTACCGAACCCTAATATGCTGGTGTTTTCTGTCACGTGCGTCCCGGTGGTAAAGTTTAATTTATAAATTAGGCACAGTAAGAGGTTAACAGTAACTAATACTAAAAGTGACGACAATACAGGGTAACTAAAGTCATGTCAGCTGGCGCGGTCCCTCCGATCACCTTCCTGCACCGCACTCACCCTTCTCGCGATGACGAGATGAGGAAAGGCCTGCGTGATGAGCTGAAGGGAGGTGACTGACGGAGGCGTGAGGCTACTCCTGACCTGACCACAGGGGACGAGGAGGGTCATCTGGTTCTGGACTGTGGGTAACTGAACCCGCAGAAAGTAAAATCACGACTAAGGGGGGACTCCCGTCTCTGGGCTTCCCTCAGTCTCAGGATTAGATGAGAAAATTCAAGTCGGACCTTAGCCAGAGCCTGGCGCACACGTTAGCATCCTTTCCCGTTTTCCCATCTAAACATCTTGGAATTATCTATGCAAAGAGCCATCCCCCTTCTTCCTGTCATTTAATTCATAGGATGCTTGACATTCCCACTTTGTAGGGACTTCATTTCTGAGGAGTCTACACGTAACCAGCAGGCCCCGGGGCCCCGTCATGGGAACGCCCTTGAACCCACTGCAGTGGGACTGAGCAGAGGGCGGAGGGGACCTGCAGCCCCAGGACAGGGGCCGCCAGCACCGTCCACACTCACGTGCTACAGGGCTGTCTGGGGGCACCCGCGGGGTCGGCACTGCTTCCCAGTTTTGTGGCTAGAGGTAGTTAGGCTCAGAGCTGGGGGTCTCGCCCTGGGTCTCACGGGAAGAGGGGAGAAGCCACAGTGTGAACCCAGGAAGACTGACCCCGCGTTGGGAGCCTCGGTGACGCATGAGCCATGGTCAGTTGACGGAGCGTTTCTGGGCGACATCTTGTAGGATTTTCACGCCATCGCAGGGGTAGGAATCAAGCAAAATCAGGACTCCTGTCCTTATTACACGGGAGGGACCGAGGCCCAGAGGGGGGAACTGACCTGCCAAAGTCCTCAGGCGAGTGGCTGGGACGCCCCAGCTCGCACTTAGGTCACTGGGGAAGGAGGACGTTAGCGGACTCTTGGGGTCGGAAGATTAAGAACATTAGACACTAGGGGCGCCTGGGTGGCTTAGTCGGTTAAGCGTCCGACTTTCGCTTGGGTCATGATCTCGCGGTTCGTGGGTTCGAGCCCCGCGTCGGGCTCTGTGCTGACAGCCAGCTCGGAGCCTGGAGCCTGTTTCAGACTCTGTGTCTCCCTCTCTCTCTGACCCTCCCCTGCTCACGCTGTCTCTCTCTCTCTCTCCTAGAAATAAATAAAACATTTAAAAAAAAAAGAACATTAGACACTAAAGCGCTCGGCGTCACGACTGGCACAGAGCCAGCGCTTAGAGGTCAGGATGCGCTGCGGGGCTGAGCCGCCCGGTCCCCGTCCCGTGCGGCAGTGCCCCTCCCAGACGTGGTGGCCGTGCCCAGCGGCCTGGCAGCCACTAGCCTCCTTGCCGTCTCTATGGACTTGCCTCTTCTAGGACTTCATGACTGGCTTCTTTCGCTTAGCGTAGGGGTCTCACAGCCCGCCGGCAGCCTGCTTGCTGGGGCTTCGAGCCTGGAGCCATGGTGTTCCCAGTGCCATGGGCGGCCACACGGCGACACACTCTGCCCCACATGACCCTCCCAGCAGCCCAAGGAAGCCTGTTAACCTTTCAGGTTTACAAACAAAGGGACAGAGGTCCAGAGAGGGAGGGTCACAGGCTACGGCCACAATCCTTGGAGCTGGGTGTGCACCTGACCCCTCTGGCTCCGTTTTCCTGGGGGCGTCCAGCTCGGGCCCCCGCCGCGCCCAGAGCACCTTCCAGACTTTGATCTGTGCTCCACCTGCCCCCACCCAGGGCAGAACTGTGGGCCGCAGGCCGGCAGGGAGGTTGTGACGAGGTTGTGCAGGCCAGGCGTCTCAGGGGTGAGGGACTGGGTCCACTTAGGGAGGTGTGTGCCCTCGTGTTAGGAGCTCACCCGCGAGCAGGGGTCCAGACAGGCCACCGGCCCTGCCCCACAGCCCGCCCGCTCCCGGCCCGGCCGGTTGCGGCGCTGAGCTCCCTTCTCTCTCTCCCCCTGCAGTTCGCTGCCATCGGCCCCAGCACGGCCCGTGCGCTGGCCACCCGGGGCCTGCCCGTGAGCTGCACGGCCGAGAGCCCCACGCCACCAGCCCTGGCCCGGGGCCTCCGGTTGGCGCTTCAGGCCCCCCGCTGCTGAGCCACCGGCCCTTCCAGCTGCGCTCCCGGGCCCAGGGAGACACGCCGCCACCGCGAGGAAGCCAGGCCTCATGGGGCCCCCCGGACTTATGCCTCATGCCTCCAGGAACCAGAGGACCCCCGAGGAGCAGGGCCCGCAAGGGCCCTTCCCGCAGCAGGAAGATGCCAAATAAAGCGCCCGGGCTCTTCACCCTGACTGCCGTGTCCTTTGCTGCCTGTCACTTTCCTGCAAAGCTGTGTCCGCTGAGGAGACTGCAGGGCCCATGCTCTGAGAATGCCAGGCTTGGGGGCGTGAGCAATCTGCTGTGTAGGGAGTAGCTCCGTCATCTGATCAGAGGCACCGTCAAGCTGCTGCCGTGTGCGCCGTGGACAGAGGCAGTCACCTACGAGAGACCTCTCTCTGCAGAAACCAGACGCAGAGTAGGCCAGTCCGGGCATCTGAGAGGTCGGGGGTGGGTGGGTGTTCAGTTTGCTTAGAAGGGGTTCATCCCGGGGTGCCTGGGGGGCTCCGTCGGTGAGGCGTCCGACTTTGGCTCAGGTCACGATCTTGTGGTTTGTGGGTTTGAGCCCCGTTGTCGGGCTCTGTGCTGACAGCTTGGAGCCTGGAGCCTGCTTCTGATTCTGTGTCTCCTACTCTCTGCCTCTCCCCACCCCCCTCCCTCAAAAATAAACATAAAAAAATAATTTAAGAAGGGTTTGTCTGTAGATGCAGTGCCCCACAGAGAGGCTTTGGAAATCTACCCCCACTTTATTTCTGCTTTTAAGATCTTGGCCTGGAATTTGAGCTGGGTGGAATGAAACCTCCGTCTGTCTTTAACAGCATCCGGTGGCAGGGAAGAGGGCTGTGTTACCAGCATGTTGTGGCCTCTCCAGAAGGCACGTTAGAGTGAGCAGTTCCCATGTGCCACAGCCCCACGCACGGCCTCTGCCTCTCACATCCTCGTTCCTCTGGACGCCCTGAGGAGCCCATACCACTACTATTCCCATTTCTCAGATGAAGGATCAGAGACTCAGGGCACCGTAGGACTTGCTCAGGGTCACACAGCTGGGACTTGTGTACAGAAAGCACACGGGCCCAGACCGGCAGTGTTCATAGGCCACCTCACACCGAAGTCACCTTAGTAGCAAAGTATGAACCTGGAAATACTCAGTTCTCTAAATCTGGGCGTGACCTGAACAAGAACCCCGCAGGGGCCGTGGTGACCCCACAGTTCTGGTCCATGGGCATTTCTCTAAGTAGAAGCCGGAATCTGTCCCCCCGCCCCCTTCTCTGATGTGAAAGTCAAATCTGGATTCAGGCGTTCAGAATCCCTGCCATTCTCAAGAGGCCTTTTCCTGATGGAGTTACCTTTTCTGTTCTCGGGGAAGAGCCCGGCCCCAAGCAGCACGGGCCAGGATGGGCAGTGCCCTCTGGGGACCCCCCGTGGCCAACGAGCCCCAAGACCTGGGCCCCAGCCGAAGCTGTCCCAGCCCTCCCAGGGCTGTTGCGACAACGTCCTGGGGCCAGCCTCGGCACAGAACACCACCGCCTGGACCGGGGTGGCTGAACCCGCCTTCGTGGGGGTGCACGGCTTGCGCCACACCGGGCTGCCGTGCAGGCCGGGCCAGGCGGCCCCCTGCCCGTGTGCTTGGAGGTCATGGCCGTGCCACATTGCTGTGCATTGTACCACAAAACCACCTCACTGCCTCTGAGCCATCTGCCTCCCCCCTCCCCCACACTCCTGCCGAGTCGCCACAGAGGGGCCCCCCACTCAGGGTGTTGGGGTGAGGACATGAACCAGCCTTTCCATGATGGGCCGTGCCTGGCCTTCTCTGCGGGGACAGGAAGCAAGTTAACAGTCCCGAGGGTCCAGGAAGCTTGGGTGGGAGAAGCATGGCACCTGTGGACCCGAGGGGGGGGGGGAACGGAGTGACACTCTCGGAGCCCCCGTCTCCCTGTCACCAGGAGACTCACTCGTGCCCTCTGGGCTGCAGTTCCCAGCTGTCTGGGAAATTGTATCTGGTGGAAAGTGGTGCCAGGATGGCAGACGTGGTACTCTGGTCATGGCCCCGCCCCCTGCGGCCCGAGTGCCTGCAAACACCTTGGAAGAACAGAGTCAGGAGGCCACCAAGTTCGCATAAACAGCCTGTATTTCACGCAATGGAGCTGCGGCCAGGGGATACGGGGGAGGCCACCTCTCTGGACAACCGCCATGGGACCGCTCTGAGCCTCTGTCTCTGGGGGCCGGACAGCAGGGAGCTAGGAGCCAGCCGAGAGCCCGGGTGGCCTTCTTCCAAGCCAAGCCACCTGCCTTTTATGCCGATGCCATCGTCCTATTTCCCTTCAGAGGTTCTATAATAAACATGAGATTAGATTTCTTCTTTTGAAGCCCGTTTCTTACACCTGAAGGTCGTCGGCAGGGCGCGTCGCACGGTTGATTATACGTACCTGTCTGCCTTCCTTCCTCCCGCACTCACTCCAGCGCTGTGTACACTTTGCAGCACAGACAGAGGAAACAGCACATGAGCACCAACGCGGCGATCAGCAGGCAGACGCCGATCGCGATCATAATCTCCAGGTCAATAGCCATCACGATCGCCGAGCACCTCACACACACCTGGGCGGAGAAGTGCCGGCGAGCAGTGAGTGTGGCTTCTGCCCCACGCGGCCACCTGGTGGCCTCGGCACGCGGCCTTCAGCAGGGGGACCACGAGCCCCATGCCATGGAACCCTCCGTGTGTCTAAAACGTGCATGAACCTTGGCGGGGGGTGGGACCAGCCATGGGGGAAGAAGGTTTATTTGTGATGGACATCAACGGACGCCCGGTGCAGAGAGCAGGAAAGCAGGTCGGGGAGCAGGAAGAACCTTTCTCTCCATGTCACAGGCTAAGTCACAACGGGCCTGTTGTTGCACAACTGGCCGTCCAAACCCCTGGGCCTCCTGACGGATATCCACATCTAGAGTCAGAACTGACCCCTCAACGTACATCAGGCATAAAAGCCTCCCAGAGGGCGCCTGGGCGGCTCAGTCAGTTAAGCATCCAACTTCAGCTCAGGTCATGATCTCACTGGTTCGTGGGCTTGAGCCTTGAGTCCAGGCTAGACTTTGCAAGCTCAAAGCCCAGAGCCTGCTTCAGAGTCTGTGTCCACCCCCAACTCCCCCTCCCCTGATCCCAGTCCATCTCCAACATAAACATTGAAAAAAGGTTTTTTTTTTTAAATCTCCCATGGGAATAACTAAGGGAAAGTCTCTTTCCAGACGCCCCACTGTGAGGTGCTGAGAACATGCAAAGCCATCTTGTAAGTGACATGCCTTCAGGGGGAGAAAGTTTCCAGTCCTCTCACTGACAACTGCATCAAGACATCTCCACATTTCCGAAGATTCTGGAAGCCTCCAGCCAAACCCTTCCCCAAGCTCAAGGATGAGTGCCCTGCCCCGACTGGGAACTAGCCTCCCTAGGAGCCCGTCGCTCCTGTCCGTACTGTAGACGGCACGCTTTCCCTGCAAAATCAAACTGATGTCCTCAAACTCCACTGTACCTGGAATAAGCAGTTCAGCTAATCCAACACTGGGAGCCTTGCGAAGCCAGTCAGCCGACTCAAAGGCTTTGTGAAAATCGGGGAGAGGAAGGCTCCCAGAGGAAAATGAACGATCCCTGGGTGTCGCGGCCCTGAGCTGAGTGGGGCCAGCCGCACACCACGGGGGCAAGAAATAATGTTCAGGAGCAAGACACTTGCATCACAAAGAGCTAGCGGATCCCACGGGCACCTTCCCAGATAGCTCTTGCGCACGATTTAAGACCTGACTTTCCAGGCAGCCTGGGGGGCTCAGTGGGTTAAGCGTCCGACTTCAGCTCCGTTTAGGTCATGATCTCACCGCTCGTGGGTTCGAGCCCCGTGTCGGGATCTGTGCAGACAGCTCAGAGCCTGGAGCCTGCTTCCGATTCTGTGTCTCCCTCTCTCTGCCCCTCCCCCTACCTCACACTCTCTCTCTAAAAAATGAAAAAAAATAAAAAAAAAAAAAAAAAAAGACCTGACTTTCCAACACACCGTCTCCGGCCAGAGCTTGCTGAGTGGAAGGGCCCCGACTGGTCTCTCAGACCCTGCAGACCCCAGGCTGTGTGACATCAGCCCTCACTCAGCCAAAGAGTTCTCGGTTCTGTTCCGTGTTCAGAATGTTAGCCTCCCAAGAAACATAGTGCCTAGATTATATTTAGAAAAATTTTGTTCTAAATCTTGTACCTTCACAGGTTTTATTTCCCCAAAACATTCAGGATTTATCTTCTAATTGAAACACAATTTGAGGGGAGCCTGGGTGGCTCAGTCGGTTAAGCATCTGAATTCAGCTCAGGTCACAATTTCGTGGTTCGTGAGTTCAAGCCCCGTGTTGGGCTCTGTGCTGACAGCTCAGAGCCTGGAGCCTGCTTCGGATTCTGTGTCTCCCTCTCTGTCTGCCCATCCCCTGCTCATGCTGTCCCTCTCTCAATAATGAAAACGTTAAAAAATTTTTAAAAATAAAACACAATTTGAGATTTTAATTTAAAAAAAGCAGAATAGAACCCCATTCACGTGGGAAGGTGCACAGTGCCCTTACACTTGGTTTTGGCCACACAAGACAACACTACGTGGCCACTTATTCAGACGTGTGTTCACTAATATATACGGACATGTCAAGTATATTGATAAATGTAAGTGGTGTGTATAAATGAATGTGTGATTAACATGTCACAGTTACATACAGTAAAACCATGGTGCGAGCATAGTTTGTTCCAGAAACATGCTTGGAATCCAAAGCACTTGTATATCAAAGCAAATTTCCCCAGAAGAAACAATGGAAACTCAGAAGATTAATTCCACAGCCCAAAAATACTCACATAAAAATGATTACAATGCTGTAATACAAAATAATAAAGAAAATACAAAATATAAAGAAAAATAAACAAATTAACCTGCACTGCCCTTTGAAAACCTCCCTGGCTGGGGTCAGGGGGGTGAGAGAGAGGAGGGTCATCGTCTAGGAAGACTTTCACTAACAGGATCACTGCTGTCTGTTGGCCCAATGGGATCTTTTTCTTTCTGGGCAACTTTAACAAGGAACCTGTCCAGTGACCTAGAAGGAAGCGAAGCGTTTCTAAGCTCATGCTTGTCTGGACAAAGGACTGTCCACAGGTGCTTTGAAGTGACAAAAACACTGTGGGCACCTTCCATCATTCTGAAAAATCACTGATTTCTGCCGAACTCTGTGGCCTGAGACCGAGCATCTGAGCATGGGAGACGATCACCCACAATCCCACAGAGAGAGAGAGAGAAAGAACCACCATTGGCCTAGTTGTGGCCATGTGACTCCTACTACAAGACTTCCCTCGTTTATCAAGTTAAAACTTATTAGAAACGTCAGCTCATCTTTCGGAGCATGCGCAGAACCAGTTCCACGGAACGCAAGGTTGTACCGCACATGCCTATACATACTCTGCGTGTCCCCGCACATCACTGACGAACATTCTGGCAGGGAGGCCGCACCGCGCAGCGGGAAGAAACCAGAGCGGGTACCGGGCCTGGCAGGTGTCTCTGATCACGAGGCACAGAGCAGCTCTGTGAGGGGCAGGGAGGAGCTCCACGGGCCGTTGCGGGAGTCCAGGCCCAGGAGCAGAGCCAACCTCACGGGCACAGGCGCGGGGACTGGGCGCTGTCCCCCCTGGAGCCACGTCTGTGTCGTGGGCCGCAGTCAACATGGGAAGTGCAAAGGGCCTGTGTGCCCCTTGGAGTCATTTCAACCCTTGCTTTTGTGTAACAGGCACTCAGGACGGGCCTTCCAATCCAAAGCTCACCGAGAATTCGACAAAAGAACGAGGCCGGGTTGAAAATGTGAGCGCCACCTGCATAAATCTGCTGGTAACACAGGGTTGTTGCTCAGTTCTTGTTTTTTAAATGCTTTTAATGTTTTTATTTATTTCTGGGAGAGAGAGAGAGAGACAGCATGAGCAGGGGAGGGTCAGAGAGAGGGAGACACAGAATCTGAAGCAAGCTCCAGGCTCCGAACTAGCAGTCAGCACAAAGTCCCATGCGGGGCTCGAACCCACAAACCGTGAGATCATAACCTGAGCCGAAGTTGGACACTTAACCGACTGAGCCACCCAGGCGCCCCTGTTGCTCAGTTTTAAGGCATGAGAAGGCTCCCCCCACCCCACGAGTCTATCTTGTACAGACACACTACAATATTTACGCAGAATTCTATAGGGTGCCTGGGGCTTGCTTCTGAGTGTGCAAAGTGGGTGTGAGGGCAATGATGAGAAATTCCACACCCTGAACCACCCTTGGCTCCTGACTGCTGACCCGGGCTTCCCACCCCGAGGCCAGGCTCCTCCCCCAGAGGGGTGACCACGGGGCTCTCCCACCCACATGGTGCCTGTTCAGGAGCTGGGAGATCGCGTCCATAGGAGGAGGGGAGTGGGGGGGGATCTGTGGACACAGCTGAGCGTGAGCAGCCCTTAGTGACCAGAGGGGGAAGGTCATCTAACAGATGTGACCGCAGGCTGACCTGTGAGCAGAACCGGGCACTCAGAGGCTCCCCACCCCCTCCCAGTCTCTGGAAGGTGGGTTCTGTTCCACCTGCCTTTCCAGCTCCCAGAGGCCGCTCTGAGCACACAGCTTTGAAAGGTGATGTGGTGTTGAAGACACCGGCACAGTATACAGGGCATGGATCCATTAGTCGTGTGTGTGTGTGTGTGTGTGTGTGTTTTGGGGGGGGGAGGGACAGAGGGAGAGGGAGACACAGAATCCGAAGCAGCTCCAGGCCCCGCGCCTTCAGCACAGAGCCCGACACGGGGCCCGAACTCACGGACCGTGAGATCATGACCTGCGCCCGAGTCAGACCCTTAACCGACGGAGCCGCCAGGCGCCCCAGGGATCCGTTAGTCTTGCCGCTGCCCGGGACCAACCTTGGACTTACCCTCCTCTCACTTATTAAAACCGCCGCCCACCAGCCCGGAGCGGCCTTTCTTCCACCTCTCCCTGCCACCCTCCCTCCGTGGGGTTCCGATTACACCTGGGACGCCCTGGGAGGGTTTCCAACCGACAGGCCCCCACTCCATGGCCACGCCCCCCCCCACGCTGCTCGCTCTTGTGTCCCCACCGGGGGTGTGGCCGGCCCCAGAGGTCTCCGAGCTGACAGAGCTGAGTGCGGCTGTGCAGGTCCCTTGATGGACGTCCCAGCTCCCGGTGAGCACAAGGCCCTGATGTCACAGGTGCCGGCCTCGCCGCTGCAGCCCCGGTGTGAGGCCACAGCCCTGGCCCAGGACCTCACTAGGAACGGATCCCGCTGTGTCTAGTGCCCTGCTCGGAGCCCCGGTGTCCTGGAGCCCCGTGACGGGGCTCAGGCTACAGGGCCATCAGACCAACCCGGCACAGAAGGCTGCTGGGGGTGGGGGGAGACATCAGGAGGGAGGGCCGGGCCAGGCGGTGCCGTCTACACCTCCTTTCTACCTGTCTTCCATAGAGCAGTTGGGAGGATTTTTTTTAAAAGTTTATTTATTTAGGTAATCTCTACACCCGACATCCGGCTCGAACTCCACTGTGAGATCAAGAATCGCCTGGTCCTCTGAGCCAACCAGGCACCCCAGGAAGATTCTTTAAATAATCAATCAATAAAGTCACTCTCCTGCTCAAAGGATCTCCACTGAACCGAGGGTAGAATCCAGTTTATCTGACCGCCAGGTCCTTCATCACCTTCCCATCCACTCTCTCTCCCAGCCTCATCTCGTTCCCCCTCCCCCCTCACTGACCTCCCCCCAGCCCCCTGCTACTCTGATGCAGGTGCTGGGTCCTGCCCCAGGGCCTTTGCACTTATCCTTTCCTTGGCCCACGCCTCCCATGAATCCCCAACCGCACGTGACCGTGACTCTCTTACTTTCCTCTCATTGCTTCCATTTCATCTTTACAAGAGGTCTCTCCCACCCACGTGAATACGGACCCCTGGCCTCCAAAGCATTCACTTTCCTGATTTATACTGTCAGCCGGTCCCTGTTTGAATTTTTCAGTCATTGTTCTGTTTACTGTCTGTCGCCACCCCTAAGAATAGAAGTTCCGTGATGGCAAAGAATGGGTCCACACGTTCATTTCCATGTTCCCTGTCCCTAGAACGGTAACGAGGATTTGATGAATGAATGAGTAGCTAAAGGCCGGCCCCCACCCCCGCACCCTTGCTGTTTTCAGACCTTTGACGCTGGCATTCCAAGCTCTCACCTGCAGCCAGGTGTCCTGAGGGCCTTGCTCACTTCGCCCAGGTGCCCTGGGCGTAACCAGTTACAAATCCCAGGCAGCTGAGCCTGGTCCTGCCTAATTTTTTCTTCCCCTCCCTCCACCACGTCCCTTTCCCTCCTCCAGACTCTCCTTCCTGAGGGTGAACTGAGAGGGGCAGTTCTAGAACCTCAGGTGATTCTAGTTTATCCTCATATAAAAGCCCCTGCCCCGTAGCCTAGGGCACCACACAGCCATTAACTGGGATGGTCAACACCTATATTCACCGACACAGAAGGGTGCCCGTGACATCCCACCGAGCTTTAGGTAACAGAGACTATGATTTATATAAAACCGGACACACGTACTTCCCCAAGCACGTTCACCAAAAGTCACCACCTGAATCACTGGACTTCCTCCTCCTCGATATTTTTAAATCTTACGTTTTCCTATACTGAGTAAACACCCCTTTTATAAAAAGAAACAAGAAGAGATCAGAGAAAGAGTCCCCAACCAGGAACAAAAAGGACCCAAACTGTGAGCAAACTGCGGCCAGGTGGTAAAGGTGCAGGGGGTGCAGGTGGGGCCACGCAGGCTGTCGGCGGCGACGGTTCGCACCTCTAGTAACAGGCCCCGCGGACGTGGCGACCCTTCCACCGCTCGCTGGGCGGCGAGGCTGCCCACGAGCCCGTCGCCATAGAAACGGAATCCACACGAGGCTGCCAGGGCAGATGTAATTACCTGAGGCCGCGGCAAACATTCTCACCCCCGCGAGAAGGGTGCTCCTGGGGGCTTCAAAGGGCAGCAGGGCCGGGGCCGCCCGGCGGGCACACTTCAGGCCTGGGTGCGACGGCCTCGGAGACGCGCGGCTGCCCCGGGGGCCGCTTATAAAAGCATCCCGGGCCCGCGGCTCCGGAGGGGGCGGCGCAGACGGAGCGCAAGCCGGAGGGCAGGGCGCAGGTCGGGCCATGCGCGCCGCCTCCATCCTCCGTGGGACCCTGCTGCTCTGCTGGCTCGCCGCACCCCTGCCCGCCAGCCCGGAGCCGCTTTTCCACAGCCGGGACCGCTCGGACCTGGAGCCGTCCCCGCTGCGCCGGGCCCAGCCCATCGCCGACCTCCTAGCAGCTCAGGTAGGAGGGGCCCCGGCACCGGGCGCACGCACGTGCACACGGGCGCACGTGCACAGGTGAGCGCTAGCACACGCGGGCAGGTGCATAGGCGGGCATGCGCCCAGGCGGACCCCTGCACGTGCACACACAGGCACGTGCTCCGTGCACATGCAGACCCCTGCACACGCAGGCACGTGCACCCGCCGGAAGGTACCTAGCCGGGCACGCGTCCAGGCGGACCCCTGCACACGCAGGCACGTGCACACTCAGGCACGTGCAGACATGGGCCCAGGCGCGCGCACACGCCGCCTCAGGTCGGGGGAGGGGCTCCTGCAACAACCCACAACCACGGGCTAGCTGTGCCGCACAACACCGGTGACCACGCTCCGTACAGGCAGACACTTAGCGACACACAGACCCCCGCCCCCGAGGCGGTCCATTCTGTAAGCCCAGGAGGGTCCCCGAACGCACACCCGCGCGCGCCAGCCTCGGGGTCCGTCACCCGCGCCCCACGGGTCGCCGTCTCTCTCCGCAGCGCTTCCTGTCCAAGTACGGCTGGGCCGACGCGCCCCCGGGGCCCGGCTCCCGGCCCCCCGGCCCCGCCGCGCCTCGCGCGCGCCCCCCGGCCGCCGCCCTGGCCGAGGCCGTGCGCAGGTTCCAGAAGGTCAACGCGCTGCCCGCGAGCGGGCGGCTGGACGCGGCCACGCTGGCGGCCATGAACAGGCCGCGCTGCGGCGTCCCCGACACGCGGCCGCCGGTGTCCCCGCCGCCCCGGGCGCGGCCCAAGCGCTTCGCGCGGTGGCCGCCGCCTCCATGGGGCCCGCGGCCCGGGGACGCCGCGCCCCGCGGGGACGCCCGGGCCTTCGCCAAGAGGACGCTGACGTGGCGGCTGCTGGGGGACGAGGGCGCCAGCAGCCAGCTGTCCGCGGACGAGCAGCGGCACATCCTCAGACTGGCTTTCAGGATGTGGAGCGAGGTGACGCCGCTGAACTTCCGCGAGGACGTCGCCGCCCCCGGGGCCGCAGTGGACATACAGCTGGGGTTAGGGCGAGGTGAGAGGGCGAAGGCAGCGAGCCAACCCGGGGCTCCCCGTCCCTGCCCCCCACGGCTGCAGGCAGGGCCCCGGAGCATAGGGAGCCCCGCCCTGGTCACCTGTCCCGCGGAGGTGGCCCAGGCGGCGGCGTGGGCCCTCCAGGAAACCCTGTGCGGGCGTCAGCACAGCTCACTGGGCAGGGCGTGGGCACGTCACCCTGCACAGGGCCAGGGGCGGCCCCAGGGGGACATCGGGGAAGTTCCCAGCCTCCGAGCAGGTCAGCCCAGGGGGCATGGCTGCAGAGAGCGAGCTTAGCAGGGCACGAGCCAGGCCGACCGCTCCCGGCCACCACCTCCTCGCTGGGCGGGTGTGGACAAAGTAACCTCTGCAGCCGCGTCTGGGATCTAGGGCTGCTAAGCGCTGCCCTGCTGACTGCACTGACTTCCTGCCGTGAGAAGTCCCCAGGAGTCACTAGGGGACGTGATCATCTGGCGGCACCGCCTTCGTGTTATGACGCGTTGTCAGCTGTTAGGACCCAACTCAGATCTTGCCTATTGACAACACCCCCACCCCCGCCTCTGGGCTCCCCCAACCTGTGCCGTGCAGCTCCGTTTCCAAGCGTTTAGACTTCCTAACACTGTCCAGCCGGCCGGGAGTTCTTGCTTCGGCTCCTGGCCTACAAGCTCATCAAGGCCGTGAACGTTTCGGGTGTCTGTGTTCCCTGTCCCCTTGCCAGGCCGGCACCTGGGCTGTCCTCGGGTTTTTGATGGCAGCGGGCAGGAGTTTGCACACGCCTGGCACCTGGGCGACATCCACTTTGACGACGATGAGCACTTCACACCTCCCACCAGTGATGCGGGCATCAGCCTTCTCAAAGTAAGTGGTCTCGGGCCGCGGGCAGAGGGCGGTGCGGCGACGCGGGCTGGAATCCAGGGAGGAGCCTGCAGCCTTCTGAGAAGTTTCCCCGATTTCCCCGTGGTCCCCCTGAAGCGCAGGCCCCGCCCGGCAGGTGCCCAGGAGCCCTCGCTTTGTGTTCCCTTCTAGGTGGCCGTCCATGAGATTGGCCACGTGCTCGGCCTGCCTCACACCTACAGGCCAGGATCCGTCATGCAGCCGAATTATATCCCCCGGGAGCCGGTGTTAGAGCTGGACTGGGCAGACAGAAAGGCGATTCAGAAGCTGTACGGTAAGGCTGCTCTGGGAGAGCATCCTCTGGGCTCACAGACGACCCTCAGTATTTCAGAGCCTAACTCACTCCTTACTGGGGGGCTGGGCCCCCAACTGGCATAGAACAGTACAGCTCTGACAGCACCCCACAGCCGCTGCCGTGTAACTCCGGGATACAGGCGGCCGCGCGCTGGCTGTAGCCACTAGCACAGAGCAAAGCACTGCCATGGGTGTCCCCTCCCGTGGCCTCTGTTTCACGTGCCACATTACATCTCTGGGAGGAAGGAAGCCCCTGGGGGAAGGTTCCGGCCATCCTAAGGCAAAGAGCAGCAGAGGATCAACTTCCATTTCTATTTAATTGTTCAGGCTAAGGTGTGAATGGTTACTTGATTGAAGTGACTAATGGCTTAGCATAGAGGCTGAAGGGAAAGAAAGCTATCCTCCCCTTTTCCACTGAAAACGGAGACCCCCCCCCCTTCTGTTCCACTCAGACCCTTGTGTTCTTGGCACCAGGCCTCTGCCCGGAGTAGCCGTGCCAGGGCTGCACGGGTTCCCTCAGAGGAAATCTTTCTCTGGTGTGTGCCCAGAACCAAACTGCTCGCCTCCGATGAAGTCAGACCAGCCGTCGGGGCATCGGCTGTGTTTAGGGCGATCACATAACCAGCACCCAAACCGAGATACCTAGAAGCCTGGGAGTGCTGTCAACGAAGATTAGCCGAACAGCCCACATGGGCCCGCCGTGCTGCATACCCCCTCCCCCCACCCCCAAGGCCGCTTCCAGTCTGGTGTGGCGTCTTGCTTTAAGACAGTTTAATAGAGGGGCGCCTGGGTGGCTCAGTCATTTAAGCGTCCGACTTCGGCTCAGGTCACGATCTCATGTTCGTGGGTTCGTGGGTTCGAGCCCTGTGTTGGGCTCTGTGCTGACAGCTCGGAGCCTGGAGCCTGCCTCGGATTCTGTGTCCCTGTCTCTCCCTGCCCCCGCCCGCTCATGCTTGCGCTCTCGCTCGCTCTCTGTCAAAAACAAAGAGCTTAATAGAAAACGCCAGCTTTGCAAGGGTCTCTATTCGAATCACATGTGAAGGTAGCAACAGATGGTTTTTGGCACCAGGTGACGAGCAGCTGGACTTTTTATTTTTTTTAAGGTTCGTGTAAAGGATCATTTGATACCGTATTTGACTGGATTCGCAAAGAGAGAAACCAATATGGAGCCGTGACGATGAGGTTTAGCACGTATTTTTTCCGCAACGGCTGGTACTGGCTTTACGAAAACCGCAACAACCGGACCCGCTACGGGGATCCCCTCCAGATCGCCAGGGGCTGGCACGGGATCCCCGCGCAAAACGTAGATGCTTTTGTCCACCTCTGGACGTGGAGGAGAGAAGAACGGTATTTCTTTAAAGGTAGAGGTTCCCCCGGGTGGCTCCGTTCCTGGCATCGCACAGGCACGTTCGGAACGAGGGCTCGGGGCCGAGCGGGGAATCCTCCGTTAGCGCCCCTGCATCACGGGCCTCCGTTTGCTCCGCCCGAGTGGAAGCTCCGGGAGCCCAGGGTGGGAAGGCACTGGGTGCATCAGATGAGCAGACGACCGAGTGCCCAGCTGTGCCAGGCCCTGAGGGGGCTGCCAAGGGCCCTCCCTGCCGATTTCGCTAACTCCGGAGAGGAAGAGCCTTGGAGGCCCGTGGCCAGGAGCCTGCGGTGAAGGAGGGGGAGCGGGTGGGGAGACCCCTGCCCTGGGGACTGGAGTCAGGGCTTGACGCAGCTGCGCAGGCTGTGGGGGACCCGGGAGCCCGCGAGGACACCGGGGGTGTGATGGGGGGAAGTGGACAGGGGTGAGGGGTGAGACACAGGAAGCGGAAGGCGTTAGAGTGAAGGGGGGGGAACAGGTCCGAGCGACAGCTGAGCGCATGGGGTGCGACAGGGCGCTTACACGGGACGAGAGTCAGGTGCAAAGACGGGGTCGGCCTGGGCCGTCAGCCATTGAGGAGTCGGTGGCAGTTTCTGAGCGGGGATCAGAGTGTTGCTGGAGGGCAGGAGCCGCGCCGGGGGCCCGGGGCCGGCGGCCGGCGGCCGCGCAGAGAAGACAGGCCGGGGCCGCCCTGCCCGGGGCGTCTGTGCCCGCGTCACGGAGGCCGGCTGCCCTCGCACACCAGGTGCCTGGAGTCTGCGCACAAACCAGATACTGTGGTGGCTGCTTTCTTTCCCTTCCCGGAACTTCCGCCCTAGAGGCAAGCCGTGTGGCCGCCGTGTGCCCGCGCCCCGGGACTGGGGCCCGGCCTTCCGCGGCTCAGGAGTCAGAGGCACGAGCCAAACCGAGAGGAAGCCGCGTGTAGGTTTTGCCATAAGAAAAACCTGAATTTTCTCTCCATCGCACAAAGGAAGAGTGGAGCTCAGTTACGTGAACAAACTGCCCAGGGTGGACTTTTCTAGGTCAGATCTCTCAGGCTGGGAGCACATCTCAGGGTCCTAAGTCCCGGAGAGCTGCTACAGGCAACAACACCCCGTCGTTACAGAGTGAGGTCACTCAGGTCAAGGCGGGGGCTGTGGGACACGGGGGTGTTTTATACTCGGAGCCGTAAGAACCTCTCACGTTTAACGCGCCAAGAATACTTTAAATTCAAATATCCCAGTTAGAGTGAACTGCACCACCGGCTGGCAAACGTCACTGTTTTCTCTCCACGGTAAGCCTCTCGGGATGGGGACAGAAGCGGGGTCCCAGGGGGAAGGAAGCTCCTGGGGCGGCTGCTACGGAACGGAACTGCCTGTGGGTTGTAAGAGGTGAACACGATTATTCTCTTTTATGCTGACGACATGCCAGCGTTCAGGACGAGGAACTAATAAGCAGAGTCCAGAATAGTCCCGTGGTGTTTCAGAGCATGAAATTAGCATTTGGCTCGTGACACGAAACAGGACCCGCCACGCCTTCGTAGGACCGTGGGTGGAGCCACTGGGGTGGAACTGGGGCGTCTCGGCCGCACCGGGTCCAGCCTGGGCCGTCAACCTGGATGAAGTACCTCAGCCCTGCTCCGGTCCCCTCACTTGTACAACAGAGCTGGCGGTCGAACTGCAGAATTCTAAAATCCTGAAAAAAAGTTGGGGTGCCCGGCTGGCTTAGTTGGTAGAGCATGTGACTCTTGTGACCTTGGGGTTGCACGTTTGAGTCCCACACCGCGTGTAGAGATTACTTAAAAAAACAATCCTAAAAAAAAAGACGATCATAAGGATCATGTTTTCTATAAAAAGAGAGCTTATATTATGGTGGGAAATAATTCAGGGCAACACATGGGTCCCTACTATGTAAAAGGAAGATCATGAGATTACGTAGGAAGAATGTGAAAAGACCCTATGATTTGTCATTTTGGTTTTGGGGAGTGGGGCTCGAGGGCCCTGCGAAAGGCAACCAACATTTTAATAGCAGCAATGACTGCCAGAACCGATCGACAAGTAAGTAATTCAAGACCTGGGGAATCATTCATTCGAGTGGAGGCTTCACGCAGATACTGAGGTCCTGCCTTCTGCTGGGGTCATGGCAAAATGTCAGCGGTTGACTTGAGAGCTGGAGCGAAAGCGGCCCTCTTGGTGGTTGTCTGTAATTAAACGGTAATAAACCATATAAGCATTTTCTGTTTGGCTCTCAGGAAATCAGTACTGGAGATACGACAGTGAAAAGGACCAGGCCTACACAGAAGATGAACACGGGAGAAGCTACCCCAGAAGGATTTCAGAAGGATTTCCTGGCATTCCAAGCCCCCTGGACACTGCCTTCTATGACCGAAGAAAGCAGTTAATTTACTTCTTCAAAGAGTCCCTCGTAAGTAGGCGGCTTTCCAACTTGCTATGGCTTCCGTCAGTTCTCACTGAAGCCTGTCAGAGGACTAAGTTGTTAAAAGTTGTTCTCAACTGCCTCGCCCTGGAGGATCGTGGCAGATCCCATTGTATGAAAAATTAGGAAATTCAAGCCCAGAGAATTTGGTGCAAAGCCACAGATTTGCCTATCTCATCCCTATAAATTAATCTAAAAATGATTTTCAGAAATGCCGGTCTTACTTGCTTTGCAGGTGTTTGCATTTGATGTCAACAGAAATCAAGTACTTGATTCTTATCCGATGAAGATTACTGATGCGTTTCCAGCAATAGAGCCACAAAACCATCCTCTCAGAAACATAGACTCCGCTTATTACTCCTACGCACACAACTCCGTTTTCTTGCTCAAAGGCAGCGCGTACTGGAAAGTGGCCAGCGACAAGGACAGACAACAGCATTCGTGGCTTCCTTCAAGTGGCTTGTTTCCAAAGCAGTCCATCTCCGAGAAGTGGTTTGACATTTGTGATGTCCACACCTCCACCCTAAACATGTAAGGAGAAACACCGGCACATGGAGAATGAAAGGGATTTCTAAGAGAAAGTCGGAGTTCTCTTACAAAGAAAATAAACCAGATTTTTAATAATTGAAGCAAACAGGACTAAAAATGGAAAAAGCCATTCCTGGAACTTTTAAGATATTTGATTTAAAAGTCAGTTTTTCAGGCAAAAAAAGTTACCAAATGGTTTTACAAAATTTTTAGGAAAGGTTAAAAAACAAAACAGAATCCCGAGGAATCCCTGTCCTTCCACCACCCAGCGCCCCCGTACCGATTTCAGGGCCGGGCGGGAACACAGCTGTAGCCACAGGACCCAATCAGGGAAGGAGACACAGCCCCCCCCCACAGATGTGGCGTTACTACCCTGAACACTTAGGGATTCAGGGGAAGCGCAGATTTCAAATTAACCACGCCCCACACTTCCTGTCGTCGTAATTTATCTCCTTCTCCTGGACAGTGTGCGGGCTTTCCCACGCGTTTCTCCCCTCTTCGCAGCGTCGCCGGAGTGCCAAGGCACAGACCGGGGCGCACAGCTCTAGTCGCAGGAACAAGGTCACAGCTGTGGCCCTGCCAAGGTCACCGCAGCAGCCGCCGGCAACCCTTGCCCCGGACTCCAGCCCAGGGCCCTGGCACCTTCTCTCCATCCCTGGCACGGAAATTAGCTGGAAAACAAGCCGTCTCCATGACCAGGCCACAAACAGCACAATTCCGCTCAACTAACCGCCAAAGCTCAAGCACTTTAAGCAGCGCTCCTTTAAGATCGGCAGATGACAAAACATTTAGACTTTTTCTGCCCCCGTAGGGGATGTTCATATTATTGCTTCAACAAGAGAAGACCGCTAGAACTGGGATCTTCTTGCTTAAAAACTATCCGACTAAACGGCTGTTCAGCCGAGGAGAGGCCAGAAGACGAGGCCAGGGTGACATCCCTGACACCAGCTCACTTCATTAGCTCTTCTGGGTGGAAGCGAGCAGACTATGAAGGGAGAGCAGAGGGACAGCTGTCCTGACAGGCTCCTGGTTCACAACTCAGGTAAAACTTTAAATGCCTCGGTTTCTGCGAATGGATGCAGATCTGTCCCAAGGGAATGCAAACCAGCTAAGGGGACAGAGCTAGGGCAGGGGTCAACTCACTGCCAAGGAGAACACTGACCCGCTCAGCACGTGAGAGAGCAGTTTGTAAAGATTCCGCTTTATTCCAGACAACGTTCCAGCAGGTTCAGACTCCAGAGGGCGCGGCCGCTGGGCCGGGGGGGGGGGCTGCCGGTCACGGCGCGCAAGGTCGGGGGGAGCCCACTGCCCGCACTCGGGGCCAGGCCAGTGGACTTGGGGCAGGGGCGGGCTCCGGTCTTCAAGTCCCAGCCGTCAAAGGAGAGCGCAGGCCCGGTTTCTGTTCCGTGTCCTTGAAGCGGAGGCTGTGGGCCCAGGGCAGGTGGGCGGCGCCCGGAGGGGTGGGGAGCAGAGGACACACGTGCGCCCAGGTGAGAGCCACGCAGGGCGGTGGCAAGTAGTGTCCTGTCCCCGCGACGACGCAGTGAATGGCAGAGATTTTTAGTGTTTCAATCTTTACTTCGTAAAATTAAACCAAAACCTGATTTATCAAATCAAAACTCAAAGTGCAGAATGTGAAATTCAGGAAAAATAACAAGACATTTTAAATAAATAATTTATTTATTCAAAATAGTTTTCTTACCTTATTCACAGTTTCCAGTTTACAGTGAAAGGAAGGGGGAGCAGTACCTATCCTTGATCAACTGTCCTAGCCCGTCAGAGAGAAGCGGCCGCCCTCGGCACACCCCGAACACACCACCGCAGAGCCTCACGCGCCGCGGGAGGAGGGGGGTCACCTTCCATGCGACCGAGAAGCACTGTAGACACAGGACGTTTCTTCAACCTGCCTGACTGAACACTCAGTCATCTGGGTGAAAGTTCCCGACAGAAGTATCCTCACCCAAAATAATTCTCTTAACCCCGTGGAGGCTAATAGACTTGAAACCTGTTTACGAGTGTACCTGCGTCACAGAAAGCGTGGGGACACAGGTCCCACATACGTCTCCGAGAAACAACGCCAGGGGCCTTCAGTCTGACTCTGACTTTGCTTCAAATGAAGCAAAGAACTCAACCACGAGTTGTCTGTCATGGGGAATGAGAACTGTTTCCTCTGCTGTGCCTGTTTCTAGTGGTGATTTCCCTATTTAATGACACGAAGCACCGAATGGACACACCAGCCCCCGAGAGCAGAAGGCACGGACAGCGTCCCTGCGGATGGAGCCTCAGACCCGAGTCACTGGCCGCTGCCACGAGCAAGCTGGTCCAGCAAGTGGAGGAGAACGTCGATTCTTTCCAGAAGAGTTGTGTTCCTGTTGGCGGTGGCTCTCAGAAGCTGGGAGTAAGTCTGCTTGTTGGTTTTGAGGACTGCATCTTCTTCAGTATTACTGCTGCGTTAGAAGGAAAAAAAAACAGCAGAAGAGCCCGGTGAGGTCCACCAACAAGTCAGAAAGAAACCTGAAGGCTGAACAGTGCCAGCCCATGCCGGGCACGGGAAGCGGGTGTTCTGGGGCTGCCTAGTCCGTACTCCCCCGCCCGCATCCGCTGTTCACAGGCCTGTTTTTACACATTCACTTCAAAAGGTCTATTAAAACCAAGGCTCATTCTCTTTACAGAGATCTGAGTGCCTAGCACGTGCTGGGAACCGCTCGGGGCAGTGGCCAGGACACACCGAGCAGAGCCCCTGCCCCCGTGGCGTCTGCCTACGGAAGCAGCAGCGGGGAGAAGCTGTGCAGCAGACAGGCCGGCGACCGCGTGCCCCCGAGGACACACGGGGGAGGAAACCCCGCGCGGGTGGCCTGGGGCCCGGAGAGCGGCCGGGATCTCCGCCCGCCTCTGCGGCCCGGCCCCCCCACAGCTGTTCACGAGCACACATCCAACGCGGCTGCGGGGAGGTTCTCCCTGGGGCTGGACCTGCGAGGGGCTGCAGCACGGACCCGACTGCATGGGACAGGTCAGTGTGACCTCGTGTGGAGGGCGCCCTCAGGTGCAGGGCTCGAGACGCACTCCACCTACAAACTGTTTAACCAAAACTTGAGTTGTTTGTCTTGAAAATCTGTCCCCTACAGGTCACATCAGTGGACCCTTATGTTAGAAAAGACTACTATTACGTGGCAGCTCATTTCTAGCATTTTTTTTTTTTTTTTTTTTTTTTTAAAACGGACCAGACAGAATACAGACCTCCCGGCCACGCACGACCAGGTAACTGCTGACAGGTGTCTACACCCGAGCCGTGCCGTAACCCTGGCGCCTCAGGAGGGCAAGGACTTATCTTATACATGTAAATACCAAGGCCCAGACGGGCCAAATAATCTGGACTGAGATAAAAACATTATACTCGGACTCCAAATGCTGTGCTCTTTCCACTCACCAATATGCAAACGCTCCACTTCTGCCCAAGTGCCCGCCAGGCTGGCAAGAGCAAACCAGCATCTGGAACCTCCCTCCAGTGCACATCGAGGCTCAGGCTGGGAGGCCACCTCCTCATCGTGGCTGCGCTTGCTCTTCCTCACTAGGACCCCGCTGTCCACACTGGGCTGAGCACGGGCCAGGCTGGAAATGGCGTGGGCTCCGCACGGCCCTCTGTGGAGACCGGCTCCTCCTCTCGCCCTTAGTCATACTTCCGTAATCAGGCAAATCTCTCTTCCCCTCAAAACCGCCCATGGCGCAGCCCAAGTGACTGTTCGAAATGCATCCACTATTTATAGCTGGGGCCTAAGACACTTAGGTTTTAATTCTGGGGTGCAGCTGACATTTGCAAAACCTCTGCTCTTGCAAGAAACTTAAACTCCTTTCTGACAAATCAAGGCAACAGGACTTAATCAGAACGAGTCTTCAAGGACAACGAGGCCACACCGTGGCTGGTGCCTGAAGGTACCAGACGGCCGCTGGGATCATACATTTAGAACTGCGAGATTTGTTCTCATCATAATTCTGAATCTTAAATCCTCATCTTCCAATTTCTACAAATGACTCCCATCCTTAATCAACTCTACTCTCACCAAGTCTCATTGAACCATGAACTCTAACAAGGGTCCCAACATTTCACAGGCTTATCTTTCTTCCAAAGGCAACCAACATCTATTTTCCTTTTTTAATAATGTTAACCAAATACACACACACGTACAAATATACGTATATACACATGTGTGTATATATAAGGTATATTATACATACATATACATAAGATATACATATATATGTCTGTGTGTGTGCCTTTTAAAAGGTTTTCGCTTATTCACTTTGAGACAAGAGTATGTGCATACATGCGAGTAGGGGAGGGGTAGAGAGAGAATCCCAAGCAGGCTCTTTGCTATCAGCACAGAGCCTGATGCAGAGCTCGAACTCCTCAACTGCAAGATCATGACCTGAGCTGAAACCAAGAATCAGATGAGCCACCTAGGTGCCCCAATCTTAACAAAATATTAAAAGTACATACATGGCCAGGAACAGTCCACAAATCTACAAGATCTGCCCTCTGCACCATGCTCAAGAGCTTCCCAAACCCTCAGAGTCTACGTTTACATTTTTCATAGCTTTGCATTCTAAGAAACCCCAAAGCCATCACAAAGGTAAAGAGGCTCCAGTCTGCTAAAGCAAGGAGTATTAAACTACAGTTTTAACTTCTTCCCAAAAGAAAAAAACAGAACCCAACATGACAAAACAAGCATTTCTATAGGGGCGCCTGGGTGCCTCAGTCGGTTGAGCATCCCAACTTCGGTTCGGGTCATGATCTAGATTTCGGGAGTTCAAGCCCATGTCGGGCTCTCTGCTGACAGCTCAGAGCCTGGAGCTGCTTCAGATGCTGTGCCTCCTCTTTCTCTGCCCCTCCCCTGCTCACATAAACTCACTCTCTCAAACATAAAAAAGCATTTCTAGCAGGACAACATGGTTATCATAAGAGGAAGTTGTCCTAAGAGGATTCTAAGAAAATTAAAATTTTCAATTTTATTAAAAAATTTTTAACGTTTATTTGAGAGCGAGAGAGAGCGCCAACCCATGCAAGTGAGGGAGGAGCAGAGAGAGAGAGGGAGAGCATCTCAAGCAGGCTCCAGGCTGCCAGCATAGAGCCAGCGTGGGCCTGGGACCCACGAAACCCTGAGATCATGACCCGAGACCAAGAGGCAGCTGCTTAACCGACTGAGTCACCTGACGCCCCAGAAAATTTAGATATTTAATTAAACTGTTTTTTTTTTTTTTAAGCAGGGGTGGGGTGGGTAGAAAATAATTAAAACATACTAGTTCATAGCAGCACTCTCAACAATAGCTAAAACAGGGAAAGAGCCTAAGTGTCCATCAACGGACGAATGGATCAAGAAGATGTGGTTTATCTATACCATGGAACACTACATGGGAATGAGAAAGAATGAAATCTGGCCATGGGTAGCAACATGGATGGACCTTGAGGGTGTTATGCTGAGCAAAATAAGTCAGGCAGAGAAGGACAAATACCACATGTTTGCACATATAGGAGGATTAGGAGGAACTTAACGGAGGAACAAGGGGGAGAAGAAGGGCGGAAATGGTGGGGGAAAGGGAGAGAGGCAAACCACGAGAGACTCTTGAATGCTGACAAAAACTGAGGACTGATGGATGTGGAGGGAGGGAGGAGATGGGCATGGAGGAGGGCACTTGTGGGGATGAGCACTGGGTGTTATATGGAAACCAACTGGACAATAAACTATTTGTAAAAAAGCAAAAGCAGAAACAAAACACACTAGTATTTCTTTTAAGGTCTAGCTCTGATCTCCCTTTTCTGCAGACAGAATGCTCACGGACTCGTGGGGAGACGGCAGGGCGCAGCGCGGGCCGCCCTCTTCACAACAGAACCGCGGTCTCGTGTGCCGACCAGTAACACCCGGGAGACACACGCACTGACATAAGAACCACTTTCTCTGTTTTGAAGCCTAGCCGTACGTTAACTGTACGAACGCAAATATCACAGTTAACAGTCTTTTAATAAACTTTGAAAATTAACACAAATTAGCTAAAGAGGACTTAATGCATCCTACACAAAAACTTTTGAAATTTTGAAAGCAGCTAGAGAAAAAAAAAAAGGCCCATTACATACGTAAAAACAAAGGGAAGACGAAGAACCAGAGAGCACGCACGCCAGAAGGCCAGGGAGGGACGGCCTTCACGGGTGGGATGGAAAAGTCTATCAACCCAGAACTCTACACGCAGCCGCACATTTCCCCAAGCCGGAAGAGGAATAAAGACTGTCGGACAACCAAAATGGGAGAATTCTCTGCTGCCAGATGTTAAAGGAAGTTTCTCAAACAGAAGACACCAGACAGAAAATGGTTTCTATCTCAAGAAGAACACTAGAACAGAATAAATGAAGGTAAAATAAATTCATATAAAAATAAATCGTTCTCTGGGGGCACCTGGATGTCTCAGTTACTCGCGGTTCGTGGGTTCAAGCCCTACATCAGGCTCTGCGCTGACAGTGAGGAGCCTGCTTGGGATTCTCTCTCTGCCCCTCCCTCACTCACCCTCTCTCCCCCTCAAAAATAAATATTAAAAAACAACTGTTCCCGGATTTTTA